CCTTGGTTCTCATTGATACGCACTGCTAACTACTTGTTGTTTTTGCTTTCTTCCTCAACAGTTTTCCTACTGTTGCCCAGCTCAGCTGCCCGTGGCGTCGCTTTCGTGAGTGTTCGGTGATGTCGTCTACAGCGACGCTGCTTGCCCACTTAATGAACACATCGGTTGCAGCATCGATGGCAGTGCTACAAGGAAACAGCTCTTTAGATGTTGCATCTTTCTCAATCTTGAGCATCACAAACCGAAGCTGGCTAAGACGCTTCTGCATCTTCCTGTTGGGCATATCACGACCATCAAGACGGCGAAGCGGTGGTATCTGCTTCGACTTGTTACCACACATCCACAGCACCCACACGTGACGTACGGAGCAATCAGGGATGGTAAAATCTGCGGGTACACGCCGAAACTTTCCACTCCAGTAGTGGCAAAGCTGACCCTCGTTGCCTTCAGTGGCAGCGTCGACAACAGATTCTTGTCTGCTGGATAGCTTCTCGACAAGCTCGCCAACGCCACTATCATGAAGACACGCTCTTATAGCATCATGAAGACCGTCGTAAGTAACCGTTCCAGCACCTATAGCTCGCTTCTCGAGCTCGGATAAAATATCTTGAACAGTATCAAGCCGGGTAGCTTCAATTTTTGACACCGATTCCAGCAAACCGTCCTTTAGACCCTTCATTTCACAGAGTATAGCCACGTGAGGTGGTACCCCAGTCGGTCGTATACGCGCCACAGCGCAACCATCACCCGTTCTAATTCTGGTTGTGAGATTTAATGGAGCTGCTGCAACGTGCACTCTGATATGTCACCGAGGCCATCGAGGAAGGGCTTGGGCACGAGATGCGGCTTGTTGCGGATAATCCAAGCGAGGAAGCGGCAGTATGAGTTCTGGTAGGTGGCCCTCGAACGCGCGGTGACTGTGTTTTCACGAATATCACGAACTGTTTTCTCTAGCTTCTCCCAATCATGGCTATCCATTTGGTGTTAGACAAGAGGTCTGACTTCTTCTGCGCAAATTGCGATTTGCTGGCGTTGTACTCCAGCTGAATATAGGGAGGCGAAGTAAGATTTCAGAAAATGTTAGACCTTATGTCTAACGCTAATACCTGTGTGTCCCACATTGTCGTACAAATTTGGGGGAATGATTCTTAGACGAAACTAGTCAGACATTTGTCAAACCAACAATTCTGCTATGTATGATGTTTGGTAGGTGGGTACAAATGTAAGCAGTTTGTAGCTCCTTGGTTCTCATTGATACGCACTGCTAACTACTTGTTGTTTTTGCTTTCTTCCTCAACAGTTTTCCTACTGTCGCCCAGCTCAGCTGTCCGTGGCGTCGCTTTCGTGAGTGTTCGGTGATGTCGTCTACAGCGACGCTGCTTGCGCACTTAATGAAGACATCGGTTGCAGCATCGATGGCAGTGCTACAAGGAAACAGCTCTTTAGATGTTGCATCTTTCTCAATCTTGAGCATCACAAACCGAAGCTGGCTAAGACGCTTCTGCATCTTCCTGTTGGGCATATCACGACCATCAAGACGGCGAAGCGGTGGTATCTGCTTCGACTTGTTACCACACATCCACAGCACCCACACGTGACGTACGGAGCAATCAGGGATGGTAAAATCTGCGGGTACACGCCGAAACTTTCCACTCCAGTAGTGGCAAAGCTGACCCTCGTTGCCTTCAGTGGCAGCGTCGACAACAGATTCTTGTCTGCTGGATAGCTTCTCGACAAGCTCGCCAACGCCACTATCATGAAGACACGCTCTTATAGCATCATGAAGACCGTCGTAAGTAACCGTTCAAGCACCTATAGCTCGCTTCTCGAGCTCGAATATAATATCTTGAACAGTTTCAAGCCGGGTAGCTTCAGCTTTTGACACCGATTCCAGCAAACCGTCCTTTAGACCCTTCATTTCACAGAGTATAGCCACGTGAGGTGGTACCCCAGTCGGTCGTATACGCGCCACAGTGCAACCATCACCCGTTCTAATTCTGGTTGTGAGATTTAATAGCAGTTCTTCGTCTTGGAAAAGCGGCGTCTCAAATAAATGGTGCTGTGGAGAAAGCGTAGCCTTCAGGAAAGAGGAATGATAGACCAGCGAAGCAAGACAAAATTCTGCAATATACTCGAGCCTATTGGGTAGGCCAGGGAACATCAACTTCATCCCGTTTTCGACGCTCTCATCTCGTGAATCAAAATGTGGTGCTAGCGTCGACTACTGGTAACTTTCGGTAGGCAATCCAGCCGCTGTACGACCGACATGCATGTCGCCAGCAGCTTCATATCGGAGGTAGGTGTTTTGAACACCTCCAAGCGACCAGCCGGCTCGCAAATGAACCGCCGTTGATGAAGGACAAGCCGTTGACCCTGACGAACAAAACGTCGCTGATCCTTTCCGCATAAAGTGAGTCCCCAGCTCAGTAGCGACAATCCCTTGGCGCTGCAATTCCGTCGCGACACTCTCTTGCGCCAGTAGACGCAGCCAGCACTTCCGAAATCGCTCGTATTGGTTACTGCCAGGAAAAAGGAGATCGCCGTCGCCAAAATTAGAAACCGCCCAATATATACCAAGTGCCACAATTGGACAAATACTTGGTTGTAGCGGGTTCGCGTAGATATGGCGCGGGTCACGCGGTCGGTCCCCTCCTTGATCATTCTTCATATGCGCGAAGTAAATCTGCAGTGCATCACCCCTCCATTCCATGTGTGAATGGCAGCTCTGATACGTTGCGGCTACAGATGATGAGAAGTTGAGGTGCTGCACTGTTCGCGTTCGTTGCGTAGGGATCTCTGCTCCGTTGGGTTCAGAAACCAACTCATTTTCGCTGACCAGAATTTACACTATCTTTCGTGTCTTTTAAATAAAAGGTGGACTGGATTCATGCGTATGGAAACTTTGATAGC